GTGTTGCATCACAATTTCTGCGACAATGACAGAAACAGGCGACCCCATGGCTGTTCCATGCAACTGTTTGGAACAGTTTGCAACTCCATGCAAACGCCTCTTAACAGATGTCAACAACTACCGGCGCCTTACAAACAACTTATCCATCACAGAAATGAAACCGACAAACGGACTTCTAACAGACCAACTTAACAATACACGGACCAAGCTTAACCTAAAGTAGACGGATCAGCCAATCACGTTCAACGGACCAGACTTATAACATCATTGACTGACAAACACTATTCACTTGACTCTGAAAATGACTTCCGCTCAGGTTGTCGAAACGTCAGTCACCAACAACGGTTCTTTTCAGAACTACAGTCACCCGGACGAACACACTATATGAACTTCTGATACTCCTGGGTTCAAACCATTTACTATCTTCGCACTTTAATAGGAAACTTCAAACGTGCAACTCCAACCGCAATTTTATCTTCACACTTCTGAGGGATTTGTTTCCAAATTCCTCTGAACAGAAGAAAGTTTTAGATAAATGCTACGAACAAGATTTTATATGTTACCTTTTTGTGTATAATACTTAGACTATTTTTTGGGGGGGGAGGGGACGGGAAAAAAGGGGGAGGTCATACTGTGGATTAACCCGCCAAAATCTCAAAAGTTAGAACCCTCTGTCAATAACTGCTTGGTACAAGTAGGACCATGCAAACGCACCATTAAGGAAGTTTGGCACGTATGGTTTTTCAGGTTTTTGCCCAAATGAAACATTTAGCCATTGAAATAGCTAATTTATTGACAACTTGAGATGAACGTAAATCTACCACCTAAGCGATTTAGTGACGCTTCAGAATCTCTTTACTTGCATTACGTGCTATTTTTCAACTAGATGAAGCTAATTCAGGAAAATCAACTGCCGAAGCAGTATTTTCCACTTTTCTCTGACGATATAAGGTTCAAAGCTCAGGGTCATGAACTCGTCAATTAAGAGTCACAGACTGAAAATATCGAGAATGGCTGGCCAGGTTAGAAAAATCGAAAATCCTGAAACTTTGCCTAAAGAACG